GTGAGGATCCCACCGCAAGATTTTTGGAACATTATTGAGGCCACATTTGGAACATGGTATACAACCTTGGAGATCGTGGGCAGTCCAAGGTCGGAATGGTCTATAAATAGTTCGACAGAGAGTCACCGAGATAGTTAATATGCAATATTCCTTCCCATTTGCAACCCGCCTAAAAGAACATCACTCTGTTCCCTTTGTCTTATGACCAAAAACGTGGGGATTTCCTACCGGCGTTCCGCGTTGATGGGTGACTACATTATTGTCTGGCGTTTGGATAAATTTTTGAATTTGCTATCAGGACCAATCTACGAATTCACCCATATAAACTGCGCGTTCAGCAAGCAAGGCTATATGTGCGCAAATTCTCCTTGGTTTTCAGGGTGGTCAAGTCCTGGAATGCCCTTCCAACATATGTTGTGGTGTCATCATCGTTCGAATTATTTAAAGGAGACCTTGATGGATCCATGTCCGAAAATGAAGCGAAGCCATGAGGGATTTGTATTTACGCATGAAAAGCTCACACTCCATTTGAATACTTGCACCCCGCATGCTTTTTCCGTACAATTTTACGTTGCGAATAGGGTACCCAAATAGGTACATATTTCTCCCAATAAATTTTCGATCTCCAGGACACCTTTCACGAATTGTGGATGCTGATTCTTCCGCTCTGAATGCGTTCGTGAACTCAGAACCCTGCGCTAAGCCTCATGCTGAATGAAATAGTGTTTACTCTTCATACCCAATCTGCTAATTATTTAGCCGATAGCAAGCAACCTTTCGTCGACACACCTTCACCTGGTGCAGAATACCGGATCCGTAACACTGAAGGGAGGTGACCACAATGTGCATCTGCCCAACCCTTCCCCGTACCGAAGATCAACATTAAATAAGCTGCCGTTTTTTCTTCTGAAGTACACTAGAGAGAATTATAAGGAACTTTTTCAATCTCAGCTCCATCCTTTGCTGTATACCCCTTTTGAGCTTGCCTATAAACCAGCAACCAATATGTTAAGTTAAATTAGCTACCTTTGTCAAGATTTAAATATCATCGACGAGACTACTTTTGATGCAGTACATTGGCATCTGGGAAGTTGATACTTTTACAATCAGGAAGGCTCATCTGTACTCGATAAAACTGTAATAATGCCTAAGCTAGCCAGCCTTGACTATGTTGCGGACTGTTTCGCTTTACGCACGACAATATTTGGCAGCGAATCTGGACTGCGGACCCACCCTCTTTTCCAGCGGAGACCGCATGCTAAAGGTTCAAAGACAACATCCATGTCATGACAAACTGTCTCGAGCCAAGTTTTGAGTTGATTCCTTCAAAGCCTATAACTGGGCGACAGCTCGGGCTCTAGGGCAGAAACTATTACCTCTTAAAGTGACCGGACGTGTTTTAACTCCGTTAGTTTTCTTTCTTGAGGTACGCTATTTCAGCCAGTATTTATTGCGATCATCTCACTGATTTTACTGTCGTTTCTCGGTTTTAATAGAACGAGCCAATATTGCGGAACCCGATTTGGTCCACCTGAGGTGGAAACTGCAACGTTCTTCCCCCTTCCCATTCACTGCGGCGCTGCTAGATATATCCAGTGATTTTATAGTTTACTCCATGGACTGATGACCTTAATTATTTCAATGGGCCAGTCTCCTCCCCTTAGATTATAGAACAGTACCGGGTTTCTCTGCTCAGGAAATAGGCTGTGCTGGGTTATCGTAGTATTACAACAAGGTGACGCTTTCACTGCTGATTAGCGGCGAAATTTTATACACATGTGAAGGATAGCCTGGTCTTACGCGTTCCGGCAACAAGCATCAGTCTGTTATTATGAACCAAATTGCGGAACTGTGAATCAACTCTGACTGTCTGCTTAGCTATCGTTCGAAAATGGGCGTCAACAGATTTTGGTGTTCATCTTGGAAAAACGTGTTGGAGGCAATAAATGCGTTGTGGTCAGGACATTTGAGCATTCTATGAAACGTTTCACACTGAAACCGAAGCCCGATGCGGCCAAGACGGTGACGAAAGAGTAGGCAGGTAGGTTTGCGGGTGACCATTATTCCCGGTTACTCGTTCTTTCCCCATGTGATTTGGGGACCACCAGAAAAAGCGAATGATGATGTAGGTGCAACACGTATGTGCAATTAATCAAAAGTGCTAAACGCATACGTTCCTTGACAAATTTTAAGAGGCAGTATATTTACTCGAATTGAAATGATAATCGAATGTAAGCGGGACACATTTTTTGATAAAGATACGCTCTGTGTCAACTAGCGCTCTTCGTCTTTAGGTATCGACATAAATGTGTATAACGAAGTTGACCAAGTGTTTCGTTCAAATTATCGGTTAACTCATTTCTCCAGTAGTTTTTCAAACTAGTTCCGATGGCGTTCTGCTTTACTCACATGAGATCAGAAACATTTTGAACTGTTTACTATTCCTTTGACTAGTTCTGACTCAAGAGCTGATCGTTCTTTTCACAGAAGTTTTCGGCACAGAATTCGCTGTTACTTAAAAGTGGCCAAATGTTCAGATTGTTGATATCCGACATGTGTTCCACAGTCTCCACTTTTCACTTTTGAGTCGGCTCGGTGATTAGGGCCTTAGAGTCTGATCAAAAGGTCGCCAGTTCGAAGCTTGCATGATGCACCACTCGGGCCCGGGTATGACTGGCTGACGACGACAAATAAGCCATCAATGGCCATTCCAGTCTCCCTAGTACTTGCCGCCAGTATTATAATCAGAATTCTTGTTACTCATGTTTTGGCACTGCACATCAATCTCTGCCAGGATAAATTTAAAGTAGACGTATCATTTAGGCTTCTTTAAGTAATCCCCGAACCCAAGTATAGGCATCACGTTTCTGGGAAATACGAAAGGCTCTTTCTAATTACGTACAGAGTCCTCTTTTTTAGCCTTATTAGGAAAACACATCTAAAAAACATGAAAATTGCATAGAAAATAACTAGAGAGGAAGACAGAAGAGTGGGCAAACTGGCCCAAAATAATGTGAAAAAATACGGATAAAATGATCGTTCCTGTGGCAGACACTATTCATAATCTAATAGAGATGGGCGTTGCAGGGGTCTCCTCTTAGTACTCCAGGTATATAAGTGTGCTTTTTCTGGGCCTAGTAATGTACTGATATCGATTTATTTGCATGACGATTTATTCATAATGCGTTGGGCTCTGGATGGGTCGACTACTTCAAATAGCAACTTCGCCCTAAATTTCGGATTGTTTCTCATCTTCGTATACGTATGGTGCTTGTCGAGTAATTTTTGTCAAGGTTTTGATTCGTCTATAAAACGTGCGGTTGGCTTACGCGTGCAACATACGCATGCACAACCTGATGGTTAACATACTTTTCTGGGGAACAAAAGAATTAACTGTGACCTTTTTTTATCTTAATAATCCGTGCTGCTGTTTTGATATTTTGGCAGGACTGTCTTGTGGAGCCGCCTGAAATAAATTCCGCCAGTTTAAGGTCGAATTTCCACCAATAGGAGTTGCCTACAAATCTTATTGGCGAATGAGCATCAGCAAGCTAAGCAACAGGAGTTTATTTTGGTCAAGTTGATTGTATTTAGCTCATGTAAACAATTATAGATGACTTTAATTAACTTTCCATTGTTCAATTTCCACCCATTTTCACATACATTTACTCTCCTTAATCCAGCATTTAACTTTTAACCGCGAATTCCGTAAGACAATTGGGCGGAGGGAGCTTATTTTTAAGGGGCCTCAGAAGACAGTTTTGACGATATTTTTGCAAAGTCCAAAAATCGAATGCGCCTATCTATTCTAAAAGGGGTGAACCAAGCGTCAAGTTAGGGTGCCTAACGGATAGGAATCACAGAACTTTTCACGGACCTGATGTACATAGTGGAGGATCTTCGCGACGCTTTTCTATTAGCTTTAATCTGCACTTAAACAAATCTGAGCTTTGCTCATTGGTCAAACCGTAGTGCACGCTTCAGTTGGCGGGGAAGGGAGTTGAGGATATCCTGGTCGTGCGCAGACACCAAGAACAGGATATATGCTAATATCGCATACGATGGAACGTCGATTGATCTTGGTGAATCGCAATAACAAAACTGCCACAGATGCATTTATCGAAGGAAAACGCTCTTTTAACCAAATGGGGGAGATAGCGAGATGTTATTCACCCTGTCATCCTAAAAGTCTTCGATTCCACCTGCAAACGGAATTGAAGCAACGACGAAAAAGTGCGAAATCTGCTCTCAAAAGAAGCGAGCTGCAGGTGTTTTATGTCAAAAACAATATGGATCCCAATAAGGTGGCATTAATCTTAGGCCGAAGACTAGTGTCCCAGGTGCTGGAGATAATTAAAAATACTCGGATGACCTTTATATGCCTTCCACGCCCGAACGGATGGAAGACTGACGACTAACTAAATGATTCTTCTACGGTGATGTCGCCATATGTGCTCGCCGAAAAAAAAAGACAAATACAATGTCACGAGAACATCTCGGAGAATACTTTGAGGTGAATACAAGTCC